TCAATTACAACCAAATTTACACATTTGTGATAAATATCGTATATGTATTTTTCGGAGGATATGCGCATCTTTTTCAGATACTTGTCCATATTCAAGATGGTCAAAAAAGAAAAACATCTTTTATTGCCACATCTTAAGTTCATTTTTCCGACATCAGTCTTGCGCTTACAGCGCCAAGACACTTACAAATTTACAAATGGCAGACCACTCCCAAACTGAATTTGGAGCGTCGACTCATTTAAACCGTTTTCATAAAAACCACCTCCATCAATTACACCATTGATTGGTGCATCATTGGTGTGAACATCGATCAGGATCTCGTTGTCACTGTTGTCTAACTATCTGTTTATAAAATAAACAAAACTCAAATCTGAATTAGTATAGTCAACGAAAACTAGAATCGAAGTTCAAACATATTATACAAAATGAGTAAATTAAATTGCATGAACAAAACAAGTATTACTCTTCCATACTAAATGAGAACACTAACAATTTAAGCCATATAAATTGCACAGAACACGTAAGCAATCTAGACACTTAGAATAATTGCTAACACGTCTATGAATATATTCAAGAGACCCCAAGCTATGAATATAATAATGACAACAAGTGTTCTGGATGTTTGCAGGTTGCTAACCAATTACCAAACCAGACCCAATCCGGTTGTTTAGTAAACCAGAACCAAATTGAACAATCAGCACACGCCCATATCAAAAATCAGATCGATGAAATTCGAAGACGAATGCCAAAATATTCAATTTTCTCTAAACAGATTTAACTACAAACAAAAAATCAAATTTAATTCGCCAAGTTATATAGAAATCCGATTAACAAAATTGCAATTAAAAGCAATTAGAACCCTACATATTAATCAACAATCCATAAACGTAAGCAATTATCAGTTGAATAACAGATGCGATTCAAGAAAAAATCAGAAGCTATAAATTGCAAAGAAAGAATTAAAAAAATCAGAATAAATCTATGCAGATCAAACAATACCATAGAGCAGTTTAGTTGCAGAAAGCCAACACATCAAACAACTACAGATGAAACCAAATCTCAATTTTGTTTAATAAACCCAGAAAACTCTGCAAGTCAGAAACTCAAGTGCAAGGACAGAGATACAATATCAAAGCAATAAGCAGATGCAAACCAAGCGATATTAAATCTCAATCTAGATGCAGCCGAGAGCATATTTGTTGCAAAAAATTCAACAAAATCCGATGACATCAGAAAGATTATAGCCACCCGATTCCTTCCTGTTCTTAAGTAAGACTTCAACCATATGTCAATATCAGTTTCGTTAGTGCAATAAAACAGTAGCGAAATTAAAAAAATTAAGACTGTTATACCCAAAATTTACAAAGGCAAACTGATATCATATTGAAGCAAATTGTAGAACAATAGGAATATGAAGACATCCAATAAACTACCGTAAACGGATTTGGAATTGAGGTGAG